CTTGGAAAACTTTGTACTTTTCTCTTGTCAGCAGTGAGCCAAAAGAGATAGTTGAGAAGTCCAAAACCCCGAGCCGAAGAAACTCTCGAACTGAGGAGCCAACTATGGCTTCTGAGAGCGTAGAAAATGGACATCGAAAACGATCCTCTCGACCTGCCTCGGCCTCCAGCTCTACTAAAGGTTGGCAGGGGAACTTGGGTATCTGAGGGGCAGAGGAACGGTTAAGATGTGATAGTGTCCTCCACACAGCAACTTCTGTCAGGGTGCTCACTTTGCTTTCTCCTAGTTTCGTCCATTGTTCAGTCAGTTCTTGAGCATATATGTTTCTGTTTGTGTACACAAGAGCAGTAAACACTTCTGGAAGAATAAAAAACTTAGCATGCTAGGTTGGACTCATTTTAAATTCATGTTTGCGCCTAAGCGTGGTGGCACACACCTGTAATTAATTGTGGCACTAGTGAGGTGGAGGTGAGAGTTTAAGGGAGTTTGAGGTAGCCTGAGTTACATGAGGTCCTGTCTCAAAAACACACATACATCTACATTAGAAAGCTCATGATCACTCACTTCAGTTAAATCCTGAATGTGGCCCAGCCTTTTCTGAAAACGTCAAATCGCTTTTTCTACATATTTTCTACTCTTTTTCCACCCTTTGTAACTGGGTCTTCTTATGAAGCCATGCCCTCAACTCTCTTGTCGAGGACTCTTAGCCTCATAAGTGCTGAGATTACAGGCGTTCACCATTAATTGCACTTAACCTTTTCATGCTTTTGAAAGTGCTACCCCAACATTCTCTGTTCTTTCTTGGTAGAGGCCCTCACATCTTCATAGGGAAAAAAATATAGAAATCTCCAATTCCACTACCAAGATGTAAATAGACTGCCATGATGGAGCAGCCCCTTTGCAACTCCAGACTAGCTTAGTGCCTCTGTCTCTGCATCTGATAACAGCTTTTTTTAAAGATTTATTTATTTATCATATATACAATGTGTTTGCATGTACATCTGCACGCCAGAAGAGGGCACCAGATTTCATTTTAGATGGTTGTGAGCCACCATGTGGTTGCTGGGAATTGTACTCATGACCTCTGGAAGAGCAGACAGTGCTCTTAACCTCTGAGCCATCTCTCCAGCCCCCTGATAACTATCTTTTATGACCTCAGCCTTACATTACCAAGTTTCTCTGTTGAAAACTGTAATTTGGGAAGGAGGGATAGTTTTGAGACAGAATCTCACTCTGTAGCCCAGTCTATCGATTAATTTGTAGCAATCATTCTACTTTAGCCTCCAGAGTTCTAAGAGTATGGCATGTGCCACCTGTACAAGCTACTGTTCCTTCTCTTTTTTTCTTCTCCTGTGTTGGGGAGAGCCCATGGCCTAAAGAATGCAAGGCAAGTACTCTACCAAATGAGCTAAATCCCTGGCCTTGCATTTTCATAGATACTGGCCTTACATTTCAGTATGGAAAGACAGGTGTAATGGCACATGTGTACAATCTCAGCATGTAGGAGGAAGAGGCAAGATGATTAGTAGTTTAAGTTTACCCTCAGCGAGCTTGAGGCCAACCTGGGCTACAAGACACTGTCTCAAAAAACAAACAAAAATGCCTGTCATTGGGAGGGCAGATTCTGATGTGTTGATCAGCTGTTGCTGGCAGGAATGTCATAATGCCTCACAAAGAGCCCTTAGAAGTAAGACCTTGCCCACCAGTTGCATATAGATAAAACAGAAGTCTTAAAGGTGGTGCCACTCACCTTGGAGGCATGTATAATGTTGAATGGGGGCTGGAGAGAGAGCTTGGGGGTTAAGAGTACTGACTGTTCTTCTAGAAGACTCAAATTCGAATTTGTGGAACCCATGTGGCAGCTCCCAGAGGACCCAATGCCCTCTTCTAGCCTACACAGACACTGCATGAAATGTGGTGAACAGACATACATGTAGTCATAATATCCAAACACATAAAATTGTTTAAAATTAACAAAATGACTGGGCGTGTGGATCAGTAATAGAGCACTTGCTTCTAGATTATTGTGCTGAGTGGTCGAAATGATAGTATTTAGAGGGAGTACAAACCGAACCACAAAAAGTAAAAGTAACTCGATCTTTTCAGACACATTTATAGAAATGGAAAAGACTTTTCTCTATGGCCTAGCATAGTTGATCCCCCACCTCTCCAGGGGATATGATAGAGATTTCAAAATCTGATGAAACAAAATGAAAGTTATTTATTGGTTTTGTTGTTGTTGTTCGTTGTTTGAGACAGGACTTCACTGTGTACCTCTAACTGGGCTGAAATTTGTCCTATAGACCTGGCTAGTCTCAGACTTACAGAAATCTGCCTCCCAAGTGCTGCAATTAAAGGCGTGTATCATAATACCAGGAAAGAAAAATTTTAGCCAAGTACTTTGGTACATGTTTGTAATCCCAATACTTAGGAGTCTAAGGCAGAATGATCATACATTTGAGGCTGAACTGATTCTGGAACAAGTTCTAGGTCAGCCTGGACAACATAGAGAGACCCTGTTTCCAAAAGCAAACATTTATATCTCATGATAGTATAAAGGTACACTGTTCACCATTCCCATCAGTCTTCAAAAGTTTTTCTTCAGTTTCTGTCGTAAGTACCTTGTTTACTTGCATTAGCACTGGTTAATGCAAATAAAGATAACCTCAAAGAGTGCCCGAGTGTGCTAATGTTGCATAAGCAGTGAAAGTGGAGCCACTTCCTCTTAGTGCACTCAGATTTGAGCTCTCCACTTCTCTCTGTGTGTCTGCTGACTAGAGTCTCTGGCATATCTGTCATCTGTCTGTTGTCCGAGTCTGTGCCCCAATAGTTGTTCTTGTCCCTAACAAAGGACTTTGCTCTGTATTTATTGAGCAGCACAGGAACACAGCATGGGAAAGGATCAAGGAATTCTTTACAGAATACTTTCACAATGTTTTACTAGAGAAAAGGCTCCCACTGGCCACACCTGACTCTATAAAGCACTTACCACAGCACAGTATCAACCAATGCAGCAACAATAGCCACATGTTGTTTGCAGCATTTATGGTGGGTATTTGTTTTAAGGTTGTTTTCAACCTCTCGGCTGTTTTCAGCAAATGATTACCACACCACGAACATGCACACATATTCTAGGGCAGAGACATAGAAAAGTACTGTCCTCTACCATAGATGACTGGAAAGTTTTGAATAAACATGATTTGTCTGAGATGAAAGTAACTTGAGATACTGATATGTTTAGGGGAATTAAAGGAACTAAAGCAGTGTTTCCCTGTCATGTCACCGTTATCATGCATAAATCACTCAGTTCCCACCTATGCAACCCTCAGGTTCAGGGAAGGAGTTTCCTGTTCTAAGGGCTTCCATGTCTGTATGCACTGTGTGGGAGCGGTGCTGGAGATGGAGCTCAGGGACCATGTGGATTGCAGGGGTTAAACTCAGGTTTGGTAGCAAGTGCCTTCACCCACTGAGCCATCTTAATGTCTTCATCACATTTCCCCAATTGACAGGCCCTAATATACGGGGACTTTGACTATTTTCAAATCATGTGACCCTTAAAACTGATTTAGAGCCCAGTAGGCTTCACTCGTCAACTCTAGTCATTGTGGATACCTAAAGGGCACTGCTACCTTCATTAAACACGTCCTTCCTTTTTCCCAACAGATATAACTGGTGCGGTGCAATCCAAGCGTAGAAAATCCAAGTAAGCAAGCTGGAAGATGACTTGATACTTGTAAATGTGTGTGAATTTTACAAAGAGCAATTTTCAGCTGTGACTTTTTAAATCTATTTCTGTACAGTTAGTCATTTTAATAACACGGTCCTTTTCCTAGTCCCTGAAACCTGTCTCAAAGTGTAACGGGGAGCAGCCCTTTTGGTGTTGCAAAATGAAGTTCAAGGCTTCTAAAATGTTGCCATGTATTGAAAGGAGCTAATGCCATTATAAATGTTATTAGTTTCACATTTCCTAAGCAGCCTAGAGTACAGGGTGAGCATCTGTAGATCTTCTAATGCTGTATTGTGCTGTGGAAGTGCTGTGTGTGCATAGCATTAGCGGGGCAAAAAGCAATCTTGTCATTTGGAAATGTAAATAATTTTACTATATAGTGTTTTTGATGTATTTGTTGTAGAAATGGACCAGTGAATAAAGAGAATCTAAGGGTTTGTACAATGTGAACTATTGAACGTGTTAAATAAATGTCTTTGTCATAGAACTTAAAAGTATATTATTGGAAAGGGTAAGCAAGCTTCTCTTGGGGGTCATACTGAGTAAACAGGGGTTCCGTTGTAACTCAGATGCGCTGTCCCACCTCAAGTGCCCACCCAGCAAGCTGATGAAAATGTATGTACTTGCTCATTCAACTCATGCTTGGGTTTGAACAAACCAGATCTGTTTAGGAACAAACTGGAGGGGTGAGGACGACAGAGTGAGTTTAATTTCGTTTGCTTTGTACTTGGGATGTAAAGGCATAATCACGAGTTCAAGGTCATCCTCAGCTGCATACAGAGTTTGAGGCCAGGTTGTGCTACCTCAGACCTTGTCTCAGAGAGTAGAACCAGCCTTCCATCAAAGGCACCCAGGACTTTTAGAGACAAGACGCTGTCAGCAACAACAGAGATAGCGTTTCCCACCTGAGCCTGTGCTGCTCCGCTCAGGAGGTGCACTCAGGCTGACCAGCGGGACTGAATTAGCGTGATTCTGCAGCTAACTGGGCAGCTTTGTCCCTGCCGTAACCTAGGGCTTGGGACTGAAATGGGCCAGTGTCTGTTGTGCTTCCACTCTCACTCCTGTGCTCATGTGTCTTCACATGTGTCTTCCAAGGATCTTCTAAAAATATTTTGTGAGTCAGACCCTATATTGTCTCTTTCCAGTGAACTTCTCTTCCTTTCTTGTATGACAACCTGTGCCAAGGCCCGCCTAGTAATCATACCTTCTACCTTGACTGCGCTTGAGATTACAGTGTTTCTCGTACTTCAGCTCAGTGTGGGCAGAAGCTTAATGTGCTTTAAATAGATTTTTATTTGTTTATATTATTTTTCTCCCATACACGAATAGCATTACAATCTAACATTCAAAATCCTGTTACACACATACACAGGCATGCCACATGACCAGGTCGAGGTGGCTGTGTCCTTGAGTCTGTCGACACATCACAACATGGTCAAAGGTTTTTCACTTCAGCCAGTCTTAACATAAAACGCCCAACAGAAATGCACTCAACTTGTTGGTTCCATTTGGAACTAGGTGGTAGGGTAAGAAGGTATTCGCAGGCTGTGGTGTCTGCATTCAGTCCCCTCACAGAGCTGCCTGGGTTCTGAAGGCCACCCAGGAGCTCTAGTAGGGTCCTTGTTGCACCTAAGACATAGGTCACAGCAGGCTGATCAGAGGGTTCCAGGCTGGGGAGCAGGCATACTCCAAAACAGCACCAAACTGCACTCACACATACACAGTGCCCTGCTGGGGCTAGACTGGCAAAGGTTAGAAAGTGACACCAGCTCAAGAGAACCACTCAGACTTATTGGAGAAAGCTGGAAGTTGCCCTTTGATATAATTGGGACTCACTCTAAAAACAGGTCCCTCTGACATCCTTAGTTTTGGCAAAGTGCTGGTAGTGTTGACATTAATACGAACTGGTACAAACTTTTCTAGGGTCTCTGAAGTCATCAGTCCAGACAGACTCTTCTAACCTCCTCCTGTCTAGGGTTGCATAGGACTTTGTGAATTCTGGTTCCCTTGTGTATTCAAGTTCTGTGGTTTAAGAAAAAAAAAAAAATCCTGAAGCATGCTCAAGGTGAAAGGCACATACACAGTCAATACAGTATGACAAGGTCTGATGCTTCAGGAGTCAGACTAGCAGGAGACTGAGTAGTGTTGGTTCTTAGAAATCTATACACAATGAAAATATTGCCACACTCAAATGCTACAGCATCTATAGGAAAGTACAAAAGAAAAATCAGCCTTGCAACCAGTCGGTAAGGGGTGGGTGGGATCTAGAACTGCAGGAGCTTCTAGGGTACAGGTCAGGGGTGAGGCCTTTTCACATTTGAGCCAGATGCCCTGTCCAACTTCCCACAGTAGCAGGGTCATGGGCACTTGCCCAGGACTGAGCCTAGGCCCCATCTGGCAGTGAGGAACAGACAAGAAGGGCTAAGAGGGAATTTCAGCTCTTACAAGCGCTGAAGATCCTAAGCTGGCTGCGAAGTGACCTTAGGACAGCTGGAAGAGTACGTGTACTAGGTTATAACTGAAGAACTTGGGACAGAACAGCTACTATCAACTACTAGGGCCCTAAGAAGCTAGTATGGGGTTTGATCAGCTTATAGTTCCCGTTTGGCTTATCATTGGGTTAAGAGACCCTAGCAGGGCCTCCTCTGTCCCCATCCTGGGGATACCCTCTCCCCTCCCACACGAAGCCTGGTGAGAAAGGATCAGAGAGGGCAGGTACTTTTACAGAACCTCATAGGAATGCAGTTTTCTCCAACCCCGGCCCGGCTCTTCGAGGCCTGGAGACCTGGGGTTGAGGTGAAAGGAAGACCTGCATTAATATGTAACAGGAAATCTAACAGTTTTGAGAAAGGAAGAGCACACACTTAAAAAAAAAAAAAAAGGTAGCTAGAATAGGAAACGACTTGGGGCATCCCAAGAGGCTGTTGCTGGTGTCTGAGCCCCACCACAAGAAGGGAGAAGCTGGCTACCCCATCCCTGTGCCCTACCCAAGAATTCCTTACTCCAGATTTAACTAAGAAAGGGAAGAGGGGCCATAGGGCACTCAAAAGAAAGAGCCCTGTGGGAGGACATTAGGAAGCCTCTTGAAGGTCCTAAACTCTGTAAGAAAAATTTGGGAACTGGAACAGTGAGGCTCCTGGCCTCCTCTACCTAGGAGTGTTTATTAACCAGCCATATTGAGCGAAGTATGAAATATAAGGCCAGAGCAAGATGAAGGCAGAGCTATCAGTCTGGGGATGGCTTTTCCCTAAATGTGTCCTCCTTAGCATCATCCCTCTGCATTCTTGCCCTTTTCCCTGCCTGAAAACCCTCTGGCCTGTTTCTCTCTCCTAAGCTAATTCTAGCACCTTGGGCATATGAACAGAGATGGCCAGGATGTCGGGGCCTTACCCAACTTCTACCCCTGGGGTGGCATGTCAAGGTAAGGTGACAAGGTACAAGCCCTTCAGACTCCAAACTCACGGGGGGGGGGGGGGGGGTTTACTCCTGAAGAGGGACAGATTTCAGGGAAAAAAAATAATCTGGAAGGTAGGATTATAGGAAAAGGAAATGGGGGCAGGCTCCAGGCTCAGGCCTAAGACCAGGGCTTAGCAACTCTAACCAAGCACAATGCCAGCTATCATGATGCCCTGCTTCCTACTGTTCCTCAGTCCATCTGTCCCGTCTGCATCTCCCACTAGGCTGCCTGTTTTCCCTCCATCCCCTTCACCTTATCTAACTTGCAACTCACTGTCTTCCTCCACATACTTAAACTTTCCAGGCCTAAGCAACTCCAAGGAGCCCAGCCCCACCCCCAGGGGGCAGGGAAAGGGGGGAGACCGAAATCAAAACCCTGACCCCTGACTACAGGGTAAGGACAATGGCCCAGGCCTGGCAGGTTGTACCTGGTCAGGATTGGAAGAGAATTGACAGGAATGATAAAGGGAACAGGAGTGGGAGCAATAACAAACAGAAAGAGTGGAGAATGTGCTGGGTCAGGGTGGGGGAGGAGGGCAAAAGTGAAGATGTGAGAGATAAGAATAGGGGTCTGAAAAGGAAGCGTGGGAGATTAGGGGTGGGAAGTGTGACGGTGAAGAACCAGACGCTGGGGGAGCGGGTGACCTGGGAGGAGAGAGGTTAGCAGGTGAATTAGAAGATTTCAGAAACAGGAAAATCTGGGGAATAGAGGGCCACCGTCCCACCTCAAACTTAGGGAGGAGGGAGGTTGTATCCAGACGAAGGCTGGCGGACCCTGGACACCCCTCGAGCAGCACACTGGCTGCTGCAGAGGAGGCTGATGGGACCAGGAGAGGCAAGGGCTTCGCAGTGCAGCCGGGACGTTCAGTAGTTGAACTGGCGCTGGCACGGCTGGTAAATGAAGCTGCCCTGGTGCTTGGGCAGGCGCGAACGGCTCTCCCGGGCGCGGTTCTGCCGCTGTAGCACTTTGGCACTCAACGTGCGGCGCTCCGCCCGCTGCCGGGCCCTCTGCAGCCTCCGCACCTGGCCGGCCTTCTCCAGCAGCACAGCGCGCGCGGGCATGGGAGCAGCTGCTCGGTGCAGGGCCCTGGGCTCCCGGCGGGCAGGCGCCAGCTCTCTGCAAGGACACAGTACAACTGTCAGAGGGGGGGGAGGTGGGAGCTGGCATCCTCCAACCCTGTCTCTGAGCACACGGTGCCCCAACCCAACCGAGGGGCATAAACGCTCCCCTTAATCACAGTTACAGGCGTGATTAAGCCCCTGGGGCAGGCAAACTAGACAGAATAGGGAAAAGGCTCCAACCTCCATCAATGCAAGCCCCACTCTGCTCTGGCTTAAGACTCACGCTGGTCTTAAGCCTCTGACCCAAGACACTCCCAAGCCCCCACCTTAGCTACAAGACCATGCCTCTCTTCCTCCTGTGGGCCTGGTGGCACCATCCTTGACCCGCCCTTTGGCTCAAAAACATGCCTCTGCTGGCCCCTGGCCTCTGGTCTCCACCCTCAACCCACTCACCCATCGCTGAGGTCCTGATCAGGCAGGACAGCGTCAGGGTGAGGGGAAGGCGGCGCCGACTCCAGCACTATGGTGCTGCCGGTGACATAGACGGACATGCTGGGATGCTCAATGAGGAGGTCCTCCAGGGGGTTGCTCTGGAGGCGGGCAGGCCCAAGGCCAGGCCCCTCTGCAGTAAAACAGGCAGGAGGGGTAACAAACCAGCTCTCGTCCATCAAGGAGGGTGCGGGAGGAGGGCGGCCCGCCGGAGCAGGAGAAGCCCCAGGGCTGGGGGCAGCTGTGAGGCTGTCTAAAGGGTGTGGAGGAGAAGGTAGGACACACACACACACACACACACACACATACCAGACACGGGGTGGGGAGAGAAAGGGCATCATTAGTTAGACCTGCTGCCCTGTCCATTGTGCCCAGAGAGCACCTGGGTAAGGCCAGGATCCTTACCCACTGCCCTAGGGGACCCAGGAGTATGCCAGGAGATAGACAAGAGAAAGGTTTGTATTACCTCACCTCTGGGCGTACTGCCTCAACTTTGTAGGCCCACTAGGCCTAGGGGGATTCTTAATTCCCAAATAGCTCCCTTCCCCTTCCCCTTCCATGTGGCAAGGCCTCCTGTCCTTATGACGCTCTGTAGGCTAGGGAATCAGAGTGCCGGTCCCCAGCTCCCCTCACCCTGCAGGTCGATGAGCAGCCAGCCGTCTACTTCATCCTCCTCTGAGACAAAGGCCCCGGGGCAGCTGGGGTCTTCAGGAGGCGAAGGGGTGCTGAAGAAAAGGCTGGTGAAGCGCTGGAACATGGTCAGCGGGTGAAGCAACCTCAAGGGGGCGCCCTATGGCAGTGCAAAAACCTGGGAAGCATAGAAAGGCCTTAGAACCACAGGCTGAAGTTGGCCCTCACTTGGCTGGGGACAGAAGGCTACAGCCCCGGCCACCAGGACAGTGAAAACACAGAAGCACGGGTACATTCTTGGTGTGTGTGCCTTTCTGCATTCAGCAGGCTTTCCTGTATGAATTTAGGAATCTACTGGGTCCTTGTTTTCTCATTTGTCAAATGACAACAGTATTACCCTAGAAAGAGTTGAATGAGCTAAGCACTTATAACATGTTTAGAACAGTGCTTGAGCACACAGCAAGCATTCAACAGGCTAAAAAATTTGCTGTTACGAAAGGTTGCTTTGGGAATATGGAAGAAGTGATACATATATGACCAGGCTTTGCCAGGGTAGGTCTCTAGAGGATGAAACAGCCAACCTAAGCTTTGAAGAGTAAAGAGGAATTTTCCATTAATGGAAAAACTACCCTTACTGCCACCATCATCTAATTAACATTCATGTGTCAGGCACTATACAAAGTAACTTCTATTTTACCACAAAACACAGAATCAGAGCAGGGTATGAAGGTGCGAGCCTGTAATCTTGGGAGGTAGAGGCAAGAGGATCAGGAGTTCAAGTCCTACTTTGGCTACATAGTGAGTTAAGGCCAGTCTGAGCTACATGGGACTCTATCTAAAATAAATAATAAATAAAGTCCTTGGGTGCATGAGATCCTATCAAAGGGAACCGAAAGGGAGTGGGAGGGAGGGAGAATAGCTATTATTGTTCTGGTAAAGAGATAAATAAAGCAAGGCTCAGAGAGGTAAGATAACTGCCCAAAGTCTTTACAGCTAGTACAAGATACAGGTAGTGTTTAAACAAAGGTAGCTAGTGGCATCTGTAATCACTACAGTCCACCACTGTCTAGATTAGGCATTTTTAGTTTAGTAACTACGCCTATATCTAGGGATATTTTTCTAGGGAAAAAAAAATCTTGGATTTCAGCAAAGTTTTCTAAGCAGCAGTCTTTGAACCCAGAGACCAAGAATAGTTATAGGAGCCTGTGTGGTTTGAAAAGTGCTACCTAACGGAAACCTCACAGGAGCTAGGTATGGTGGTGCAGGCCTTTAATCCCAGCACTCAGGAGGCAAAGGTGAGCAGATATCTGTGAGTTCGAGGCCACCCTGGTCTACAGAGGGAGCCCAGGACAGCCAGGGCTATAGAGAGAAACCCTGTCTCCAAAAAAACCAAAACAAACAAACCCCCCCAGAAACAAATAATAAACCTCATGGTTGTGTGACAATCTCACCATGAGATTGGCAACCCTCAGATGTGTCTTCCAGATGAGGACCCAATGCCTACAGGTGCTCCCCATTACTCTGAATCTCTTTCCCAGACTCTCGTTCAAAGACAGCATCCCTGGCCAAGAGAAAGAATATTGGGTTGCCTGGCTAGTGAGACAACACAGATGATGATGGCAGATCCAAAGAGCCTTTAAGGATAAACGGAAGTGTTGGGCCAAGACCCAAGAGTTCAGACAAACCCTTCCCTGGACTAAGACAAGGAAGAAGTCCCCTGTTTTAGAAATGGAGACATCAAAGTGATAACATTAATCTATCCAAAAAGCTACAGCTTAGTAGTGGGGCAATGCAGAAAAGCCTCAACAGATACTAACCAAGAATATAATGATGCAAAGGATACAGGGAAACCGGACACAAGCCCTGATCCAGACAGCACCTTTCTGCCTCTCCATGGAACAATGTGGAGATTCTGGCTTCCCGCTTTAGCATGAATTTCCCAAGGTTCACACTGTGGGACAGTCCCTGCAATGAGCCCTTTCAGCTGTTGACAGGTTGAGTGACGTAAGAGAGGCTTAGCTGAGAAGCTCCCTGATGGAGATCATACAAAAGTCAGTGACAGCCAGTAGAGATGATAGCAACCAGCCATTTAAGACTGTCCCCTCCCTTGACCGCTACGAGAGTCTCCTGGGTTTTCTTTCCTAGCCTACTGGCTTCCTGGTTCTCAGATTCCTGGCTCTGGTCCAGGAAGAACCATTCCCTTAATACTACAGCAGCTGTGCCCAGAATAGCACTTGAGCCCTAAGCCATTCTTGAGCAAACCCTAGCCTGGGAAGGCTCCAGAAGCCTCTGTGTCTATTCACTTGGAAAGTAAGAAACATCCTTCTGCCCTGCCCCACCCCTGGAAGCAGACTTGGGAGACAGCATAAGCTCTGTAATCACTAGTACCAGGGAAGTTCTGGTTCCTCCTAGCTGGCAGCTTGGGATCTGACCAGGTGATGAGAGGCCAATAGAGGGAACTCCCAATGCATCTCAACAACATCTGCCCTGGAGACACCTGGAGGCTGGCAACTAGTGACTCACCTTTCTGTGGTCAAAAACAGCTGGGAGACAGCAATTTATTGGGTTCTGAGGTAGACAGCAGGCAGAGAAGGTTAGGACCTTGAAAGGAACCCAGTTTTCAGAGAGCTCCTGGGAAAATGTCCAGGGTCAGGAAGACTGAAACACCCCCATCTAATTGGTCCTCAAGATAGGGTCCTCAGTAAGTGGATATATAGCTTGTAGTTTGTACTTTGCGTTTGCCCACAGCTAAGGAACCTGTCACTCACTGGGTGTGACTCTAATTTGGCTGAGATCTCCAACAAACTATGTCTCTCTGGGTCTCAGTTTCCTCTTCCGTGAAGTGGGGTTTAAGACGCTCCGTATTTGTAGGCTGAAAATGACATCAACTAAGGCTCTGCACACATGTCAGGGATTAAAAGGATGTTATTATGTTGAGGGGGGCGGAGCCTGAAGACAGAGGGGATCCGCTACCATCTGGTGTTGTCTCCAGGACCAGGAGTCTGAACCCTCCTTCACCACCTACCACCCTCTCAACTTAAGCCGAGCTTTGCCATCCGACCTTTCCTCGGGTCGCAGGGAAAGAGCACATGAGAGGCCCGACCCTAGTCCCTAGATTAGCCCAGGAAACCGCCGAGTCCCCTCAGGCCCCGCTTGCCTTTCAGCGTCTCTCAATCAACCCTCGACACAGCGCCCACCGGGTCACCAGAGGACATGTACCCAAGCAAGCCTGGAAGGCGGGGCTGGCCTTGGTGACGTCTCAATGTCATATGCAAATAAAGCGACGTCATGGCCTACCGGCTTGGGGCGACCAATAGTGAGCCAAGAACGCAGCTCCCGCTGCCGCCGGCGGAGACAGACAAAGAACCGGAGAGGGGGGCGCAGGGCGTGTCCTGGGGCGCCCGGAGCCCCCAGCCCCGAGGTCGGGACTCACCTGGGGCGGCTGCGGCAACCGGTGCGCTGAGGTAGTTGTGCGGCCGGGCGTCCCCGGGTCGCCGGCGCTCACAGCCGGAGCCGCATACCGGGGACCGGCCAGGAGACGGCGGGGCTCGCGATCGGACGCCCGGAGCTGCTGCGGCCGCTGCGCCGGGGCTCACGGCACAAATCCGAACGCTCCAACAGCTGATTGTGACGTCACAAAGGGGCCCGCCCGCCCGCGTCAGCGGCCCTCGCAGCGGCGGCCAATCGCGGGCGCCGAGGGCTCGTTTCCCCGCCCCTCCGCGGTCTGCCAGCCGGTGGCCGCGGCCCCGGGAGCTGCGCTCCGAGCCTCCGGCCGAGTGGAGGTGACCGCCCGAGTTCCCTGCCCCCCGTCACCCACAGACCTCGCACTGAAGGCGAACACCGCCCCCCCTTCTTCCGCAGGACTCCCATCCCGACGCTCTTCATGCACACATCCCCGCTCACTCACTTGTCCCGGTGCTCCGCACATCCCTTCGCCTGCAGCTTAGGTACAGGACATCCCCACCCCCGCTGCGTGCCATCTGTAAGTCCCTCTTACAACGCACACACCGCGCGCCTTGTCCCTTACCGCTCTCTCCACACTGCCCCTCTTGCCTTGCTCTCTCTCCTCTGTCTTATCCCCACACGTTTTCTATTTTCCCAGCTCTTTTTTCGGTGGTCTCGAGAGGACCCTGCCTCTTCGGCAGTTACAAAGGAGCACCTGCGAGTGTGGGGGAGTTGGTGGGGCTGACGGGAAATTTGGCCAGAGGAGGCCTTGGAAAGAAATTGTTCTAAGCTGAATAAACATTGACCTGGAGACAGCTCAGCCTAGAACGTTTACACACCTTATTTAGCCCACGTCGCTGCTACCGGAACAGAACAGAGGAGAAACAGGACGGGGATTGTTAGTTCTGATTTACATATGGAGAAACTGAGATTACAGGCTCTGGCCTGTAATCCCAGCACTTGCTAGGGAGACACAGGTTTAAGAGTTGAAAGACAGCCTGAGCTGTAGGAGACCCAGAGGGGAGGGGAAGGGGAAGGGGCACCTGCTATCTCTGCCGGACCGCCAGTTGACAGTGAGCACTCGCCATATGCCAAACACTGTGTTGCTTTTTAATCTTCACAATAAACCCAAAAGATAGGTATTATCCTCCTTTCGTAGTTAAAGAAAGGGACCAGGAGAATCTTAAGTAACTTCCCAAGGTAATTAAGTGATAGTGGCAGAGCCAGGAGTTTAACTCCCAGGTACTGGCCTTGGCTCTGGTCACTCTATGTGCACAGGAGGGTCTGAACTCGAGGATTCTGAAGTCTCCAGGGAGACCTGGCTTCCATCCTCTGTCTCAACCGTGTGATTTCAAGTAAGTCTTTACCATTCTGGGCCTCGGTTTATCTGTCATGCTGCCATAATATTCAAACTTAGAGCTGACAATAGTTTTCCAGACTCTTCATTCCCCAAGATGCTGCCAAGTTCATGCTCCAGGCCCCAGCTCTTGGAGTGGCCTGCAAGATACTCAGGGGATTTCCAAGGCCAGAGCTTCTGGGTCTCCAAGTAGAACAGAGCTTGGTGTAGAGGCTCTGAGAGGCGTCCATCTGACCAGAAACAGCTAGGTCAGAGCTTCGTGCTCTGGTGATTTCAAGAACACTGCCCAGCCTGGTCAGAAAGCCGTAAGGGAGGACCGGGCCCTTCCAAGCAGAGGAGAGAGCCAGAAAATATCAGCCAGAGGCCTGAGGGGAGGTGATTGGCACTGTGTTCCTTACACTGGAGTTTGCAGTGTGCCCTCGTAAACCCGAGCCTCTGCCTAGCACAGCCACTTCCCACTAATCCCACACCCTCCCTTGACCTCCTTGCTGACAAACTAGTCCCGAACGTCCCTCTGGTCACACCACTAGTTTGCTCTAAGACCTTATGTTCTCACAGTCCCCACAGTTCCAACAGCATTCGTGGCTACTCATAACCGAGATGGGGTTCTCTCCAGCACCGTCCTCCTTTCTTCTCTGTGTACCCTGTGCTACTAAGACTCCTTCGTCATCTCAAAACTCTCACTTCCAGGATTTTAAGCTCTCTCCTCTTCCTGGATTGCCTTCCCTGTGCCTTTCTAACATTCTTTCCCGTCTTCAAAATTCTACTAGTACTCCTTAGAGGAGGCCACTCTTGTCCTGCTCATGTGTCAGTGATGACTTTGTTTGTTTGTTCAACAAATAGTAAGTAGCTGAGTGTGTCGCTTGCACCTGTAGTCCCACCTACTCCGTGTCTGGGAACAGCCTGGGTTCCATTGTGAGTTAGAGTGTGTGTGTGTGTGTGTGTGTGTGTGTGTGTGTGTGTGTGTCAGTTTTTTGAGACTCTATGGATCTGCCTGGCCTGGAAGTTGCTATGTAGATTAGGCTGGCCTTGCCTCATAGATGATCGCCTGCTTCTGCCTCCCAAGCGTTGGGATTAAAGACGTATGCTGCGGTACTGAGACTGGATTAAAAACGAAAACATCTAGCTGAAGAGGCTGGAGAGGTGGCTCAGTGGTTAAGCGCTCTGGCTGTTCTTCCAGGGGTCCTGAGTTTAACTCCCAGCACCAACATAGTAGCTCATAACTATCTAAAAGTGGCTACAATACCCTCTTCTGGTGTACAGACAGATATTCAGACAAAGCATCTAAGTGCATTCTCTAATTTTAAAAAATGGCTGGATAGCTGGACACGGGTGGGACGCGCCTTTAATCCCAGGCCTCAGGGAGGCAGAGGCAGGCAGATCTCTGTGCCTTCAAGGCTAGCCTGATCTACAAAGCTAGTCCAGGACAGCCAAAGCTACACAGAGAAACCCTATCTCAAAACAAACAAATGAACAAACAAAAATTGGCTGAAGAGATGGCTCAGCAGTTAAGAGCACTGACTGGTCTTTCAGAGGCCCCAGGCTTGACTCTCAGAACCCACATGGCAGCTTACAACCATCTTAACTGATGACTTTTTGTTAATATCTGGTGACACCAGGCAGACATATGGTGTACACCATACAGAATGCAAGCAAAGTATTCATATACATAGCATTAAAATAACAAAAATACTTTACACATCTCATTCAAAACATTTTTAAAAGATATGAAAGCACTCTTAACCACTCAGCAATCTCTCCAGCCCCTATGAAATAACAAGCAAGCAGAGCTGGAGAGATAGCTCAGTGGTTAAGAGCGCTGGCTGCTCTTCCAGAGGACACCACATAGCAACTCACAACTGTCTGTAACTTCAGTTCCAGAGGATTCAACAACCTTTTTGACCTTCTCAAGCATTGTAAATGTGATAAAAAGACATATGTGCAGGTAAAACATCCAGACACATAAAAATAAATCTTAAAATATTTTTTAAATAAGCAAGTATTGATGCCTGTGTGTTTAAGTGTCTTAGCAAGTGAATGATTGACATCCCAAGGGTAGGGCCTTTGTCCACATATTTGTCTAATCAGGCTATATCTGATATATAGTAACTTTTTTTCCTGTGAAATTACTTTTATTTTTTTAATTTAAATTTATTTTTTATAATTTATTCACTTTACATCCCGATTGTAACCCCCTCCCTCTTCTCCTCCCAGCCTATCCTCCTCCCCTAGTCCTCAGAAAGTAGGAGGCCCCCTACCCCACCATCTGACCTCAGCCTATGAAGTCTCATTAGGACTGCCTGCATCCTCTTCCTCTGTGGCCTGGCAAGAATCCCCCCACGGGGGGGGAGGGAGGGGAATGATCAAAGAGTAGGCAACAGAGTCCATATTAGAGACAGCCCCTGCTCCCCTTACTAGGAAACCCACATGGAGACTGAGCTGTCCATTAGCTACATCTGAGCAGGGGGGCCTAGGTCTTCTCTATGCATGGCCCTTGGTTGGTGCATTAATCTCTGCAGGCCTCCCCTGGTCCCAGATTTGTTGGCCCTGTTGGTCTTCTTATGGAGCTCCTGTCCCCTCCAGGTCCTTCTGTTCCACCACATATAGTGAATTCTAATCAAAGGCTTAGTCCTTGTAGCCTGAAGCCCACAGACAGTATCTGGCAGAAGAGTCTCCCTATGGAACATTTATCTTGGTAGATGCACAAAGTTCTGGTTCCCCAATTCTAGAGCATAGGGCTCTTGGCATACGTTTTGGTACCCTAATTGACCTGGATTCTGCTCCCAATATTGGCTGTACCCAATGTTCAAGCTGCTGGGCCAAATTTCAGTCTACTTGGGACTCTAGCCTGGGCCGGGCAACTATCAAAAGGGGCTGGGTCTTAGTGGCAGAGCAGATGGCCCGGTGCATGGTGCCGTAGCTTCAATCCCCAGTACTGCCAAAATAAACATGTAAATAAAAAAGAGCTGGAGAGACGGTTCAGTGGTTGAAAGCACTTGTTGTTCCTCTAGAGGACCCAAGTTTGACTCCCAGAACCCACACGATGGCTAGCAACCATCTGTAATCCAGTTTCACGGTATATGATGGCCCCTTCTCACCTCCACGGGTACCAGGCACACACAATGGTATGCAGATATACAAGCACAGGAAACATCTATATATGAAAAATAAAAATCTAAAAAAATAAAGGTAATAATATGATGCTAGGGCTATGCCCTGAAGTTTCACATCCAATCAGACAAAGCACCATTCCTGTGGCCATACATGAATGCATGTGAACATATGTGCATGTACACGAAGATATGCAAATGTGTAGATGAGTTCACTCTCATGAGACTAGCAGCTGCCCATGTCCATCTAACCTAGGTAACTCATTCCTACTCATTACCAAGTGTGAGCATCTGCCCAGTTTTATGGGCATTAGGATCGGAGGCCGGGAGGCCACCCTTGTGTTCATGTATAGAGGCCTTGGGTTTGCACTCACTGTGCCCTGAGGACTCTGACCTGGCTTGGGACCTCTATTTTAAAGGGCTGAGATGTGTCAGCCTGGGTGTGTCCCTCATGGGACCTTAGATGCACACAGCAGGTCTGAGCAGTCTGTGATGAGCACATGCTAATCTTCCCCCACTTCTCCCCCTCCACCCCAAACACATGTTTTAAGATAGAAACTGAGACAGAGACAAGAAACCCTCAAGCACAGACAGCTTTTTGTTGTTGGTGGAAATATGGGGGATTGAACTCAGGGCCTCATGCAAGCACTTTACCCATGTTCTCTTTTCCTTTTTTCCTTTTTCCTTATTGACATCCTCCAAAGCTGCCCAGGTTGGCCTTGAACTCACTCTCTAGCCAGGGCAAGCCTTCAGTGTACAATCCCCCTTACAATTAATCTCATTTTACCAAACTGCTGAGATTATGCCCTATGCCATAGATTTGGCGACTAATATATTCTATTTTACTGTTGAAGAGACTAAGACTGAAAGGAATGAAGTATCTAAGCCATTCAGGCCTTATCCACATCAGCACTGCTTTTTCTTTAGGAAGAGACCCAGAACGTTAGTACCTGGGAAGTACGTGTCATGATGCACATATGGGGATCAGAGGACAGAGTTGTGGAGTTGGTTTTGCCCTTCCCACTTTTAAGTGGGTTTTAGAGATTGAACACAGGGTTGCCAGACCTGAGTGTGAAAAACACCTTTTTGTCTATTGCTGTGATAAAACACCATGACCAAGACAACTTATAGACAGAAGGGTTTCAGAGAGTTAAGGCCCATGACCATCATGGCAGGGAGCATGGCACCAGGTAGACGGGGATGGTGCTGGAGCAGCAGCTGAGCCTGAGCGCTCACACCCTGCCACCAGGCAGAAAGA